GGGATGCACAGGCAGAGGGCATAATGGCAGTGCCTTCACCAGTTAGGGGAAGTCCTGGCAGTCTAATTGCAGACTGACGGTGGGTAGGCAGGGCCTCTACAAGATGTGGGGAATGCCTGGAGTCCAGGAAATCTGGCTTCAATGCCAGCCTCCAGATTCAAACTCTACACTATAAGTCAAGCTCAGTGCTGGGAGGGACCTGGATGTCACCTGCTGGTAACTGCCTAGCCAATGAGACTCATCAAGGAAGAGGGATGAAGGCAGGTCCCCTACACTTAGCCAAGAGTAGTCCTGACATCTTACAGGAAGCAGGGAAGCACAGATTAAGACATCATCAAAAAGTAAATCAAAGGATGCTGCTGGAAGGGAGAAGAGGTGGGAGCCGCTCACTGTAGGAGGGACACTGTGTTCAGTGTCTCTCAGCCCTGGGAACATGGGACGCTGACCACCTAACTCCACACAGTTCCACCCTCTATGCAGAGATCTTAAAAAAAAAAATCAGATACACACGGAGATCTTGATGACTGTACTAGATAGAAGCTTTGGAAAAAATGAAAGCAATTAAAAACTGTCCCCGGATTTGGAAGTGGGTGGAAGCAATGTTCCGTATGTGTAAGGTGGATCATGAGGCAGCCTTGGAAAGACTCACGCTGGCAGTGTACCCAGATGTCTATTCTCCACGTGAAAGAGCTCACGATTTAGACACGTACACAGTGCTCTATGGACTGCCTGCAAGTGCGCCACCGGGGTGAACTCAGGAAAGGGGTCCACAGGGAGTCAAGAGGTGCAGGCCCCATCCCTTTGCACATCACCATCATGGGAATTGGTTTATGCACAAGGTGTCGGCCCAGTGACAACACACACTTCCTAGCCCTAATGTGACATCACAGGCAAGTGGCAGTCACCGGGAGTTCTCCAAAGCTGTAATGGCAATGGGTGTGTGTTAAGGAAGCTGACAACTGCTTGGCTATTTATGCCTTACAGAGATTTTTCCATGAAAACCTTGGTCTGTGCTTCTTGCTCTTCCCTGGGGAACAAATGTCTTGGAGTAGAATTATTAATTGAAGACACTGAGAGTTTTCCTCTGCACATGCTGGCAGGTCGCTCTAAGTAATGGTTGCACAGCTGAAGCCTGTGGCCTTGCTGCACTTTAGACACAATGGAAAAGGCCTTGACCCTCTGAAGTAGACGCCTATGCTAACTTGACCAATGAGAGAAGCTGTGTCTTTTCCATTTTTACCTGTGTTTTAGTGAACTTGGACTTGGTGCTTGGTGCAGTCTTTTATATAGAATGATTTCCTCAGCCAGGTGTGGGGGCTCACACCTGTAACCCCGGCAACAAGGAGGCTGAGGCAAGCAGAATCACCACCAGGCCTCCGTGGTGTGTAGACAGAGCTGTCTCAATAAATAATAAAAATAAACACTTTTTAAATCTAAATAAATAAATATTTCTTGAGTCAAAAGAAAACTGTGATTTTCACCGAAATTTTGTCTAATCTTTTGTGGTTTCAATTTTTCCATTTAATTTGAAATCGGCAATGAAATTAAAATGTGAAAATTTCCCCCTGCATTTTAAGAGCACAAAAGTTCCTGTACCAGGCCTCTCCTGAAGCCTGGGGTCTGAGCCCCTCTGTCTTTGACTGCACTGGCAAGCTCTAATGGGACTGAGAGTGTGTGTGTGTATTGGTCTAGCCTGCAGCCACTGGGCACCACTTGCAGGGATGGCCACAGCCCTGCCGTGCTTGTGTGAGATCAACAGGCCCCTGACTTTGGGCTGGCGTCACTGCTGCTGCACGCCCTCCATGGAGACAGCTCCAATTGACATGACAGTGTTTTCTGTTGCAGGCTGCATGGCCACTGCAATGACCCTTCTCTGGATGACCCCATCCCCCAGGAGTACGCTCTCTTCCTCTGCCCCACCGGGCCCTTGCTGGAAGACCTCCAAGAGTTCTGGAGGGAGAGCAAACGTCAGTGTGCGAAGAACAGGGCTCATGAGGTCTTCCCTCATGTGACACTCTGCGACTTTTTCACGGTGAGTCCACCCGGAGGCCTTACATGCTCACCGCTGCAGCTTCCTCAGAGTTGACTGGAGCTAATTTCCAGAAGGTAACACATTCAAACTGAGGCAAGCAAGGAACACAGAAGGAAAGAGGACAGGGGCCAGTGTCAGGGGAGTCCCAACCAAGCACATAAAGGGGATCATATTCCAGAAAGACTCATACCCAAGATGCCTCAAATAACCGAGCAGAAAATATGGGGGTTGACTCTTTACTCCGTAGCTGTAGGGGCTGCATTGGGAGTATCCCAGAGCCTTGGATAGAGAACAGCCCATAGAGATTAAGCCTTGATTCTCAACAGGTGAATTAACTCAACAGCCCCGAGGACACGCATTCTCTACTTCTCTTCCCTTAGTGTGAAGACCAGAAGGTGGAGTATTTGTATGAGGCTCTGAGGCGTGCAGGGAGCAGAATCCTGAACTCCTTCCCTGCCCTGGTTCCTCTTGTTCTCCATTCCTCCATCAGCTACCTCGGCTTCTTCATCAACGACAGCCCTGCTGACGTCATCAGAGAATTTGCCATGGCGTTTGCCTCAGAGGCCTCAGTCTTGGCAGGTAGGGGGCCCCAGCTGCGGGCAGACACACTGTACCCTTTGGGTCCCAGAAGAGCCATATCTACGGCCTTGATGGATTAGCTCCTGTCCATGGTGACGGCTCTTTAATGTCCGTCCTCCGAGGGATAGTTAGGTTAGTGTCTGGAAACGGCATACCAGTCACTCACGGCCTATGCCCCCAGGGGGGTCTTCTAGGCCTCACCTTAAAAGGGAGAAGGGAATTCTAGGGGTGTGTCTCAGTTGGTAAGAGTACTTGGCAGGGTATGAGGGTTGATCCTCAGTGCTACGTATCCCAGGCGTGAGGTTCATAAACCTGTAATCCAGAAAGGGGAGACAAGAGGAGCTGAAGTTCAAGGACATCCTTCACTACATAGCAAGTGAGTCATACTTATATTACATGAGACTCTCAGAATGGAAGGAAAGAAGAAGGGAGGGTGGAAGGGAGGAAGGGAGAGAAGGAGGGAAGAACAAGTAAACAAAGAGAAAGAAGGATGAGGAAACCATACTGCCCAGCAGGAATCCTGTCCAGCATACCTGTGCTAGGTTACACAAGGTCCCCTGCCACCAGGAACTTCAGAACGGGACCTTATTTAACAGTGGGCTCTTTAAAGATGCAATTAGTTGAGATGAGGTCACACTGGAGGAAAGTGACCCCCCCCAAAAAAATTCATTTCCTGAAAACGACACATGGAGATACCAAGGACGCCGCTTGACCACAGAGGCAGAAATGGGCAGATAGGGCTACAGGCAAGGGCTGCCTGGGGCCGCTAAGAGCTGGAGGACACCAAAGGACCCATCCCGAGAGCCTTCAGAAGGAATGTGGCTCTGCCCACACCTGGATTGTGAACTTTGGCCTAGATTTCTAAGCCAATACACTCCTGTTGTCTTACACTGTTCAGTTTGGCTATCCTGTTGCAGCAGGAAGTTGAGTGCCACGCTCACCAATCCCCGTGGCCTGGAACTGAGCATTCTGCCTCACTGAACACTGATTGATAGGCCCCACTTCCTCTTATCCATCTCCTGGCCCTGAGCTTGTCCTTCCTGCCTTCCCAGGTCGCGCCTCAGTCTGATCTAAGAGGCCTGATCTAAGAGGCTATGAGTTCCTCCTGGGATGACAGCTCAGAATTGTCCCGAGTCCCTCCCTGCCCACGCTAGCCCTCTCGGCGAAACAGAACCCAGGTACACAGGGCAACAGAAAAAAAAAAACCAAAACACTGGACTGTCTCCTCAGAATGCCTCAGCCCTGGGTCTCTGGGGAAGCCAGACCAGGTCTTTTCCAGACCCTACTGACTCACAAGGGGAGCCCACCCTCCCCAACTACTAAAAAGAGTCACAAAAGGAATTTCCCATCACCTACACACACCTTCGTGCCATCTGTCCTGGCTGCCTTCCAGAAGCTTGGGGCTCAAGGACCTGGCCAGGGTCTAGCTGGTGCTAAACATTCCCCGTGTGAAGAGTGCTGTGGTGTACCTAGCGTCATGCTGCCTTCCAGAACTTTCAATGGGGGAATAACAAGCCCTGTTTGCTTCCTGTCCTGCATAGAGAGGTGGCAAACAGTTTTAAGGCACTGAGAGTCCCCATGGACTCCAGAGTCCCAGAACCAGCTATCTTTTTCCTAAGTCCTAGCTGTCATTGAGGAAACTGAGTCAGAGCATGGCACTCAGTCAAGGCCCCTTGGTGACAAGGACAAAAGAGCCTTAAAGTCAGGTCCCCCACAACAAAGCCTGTGTCATTCCTATGAAGACACTGGACTGTCTCCTCAGAGTCTGAAATGCTTTATGGTCCAACTGACACCAGACCTGGCTGTTCCCATGATGCCAAGGTGTCCTCAGGGTCAGAGGCCATTGCAAAGCCCTGGGCCTTAGCTCTACCAAGGCCTCCGGGGAGGAAAGTCAAGTGAACATTAGATGGGCTGCGGGTTTTACAGGCCATCACTCAAGAAATTTTCCTCCTGAGACTCTTCTTCAAGCAAAAGGCATTGGTCTGGTGTGAGGTTGTAACTCAGTGGGTAGAGGGTTTTCCTAGCAACAATGAGGCCCTAGGTTCAGTCCCTAGCAACACATAAGCCAGGTATGGGAGTGCACGCTTATGACCCTGGCACTCAGGAGATAGAGGCAGTAGGATCAGAAGTTCAAGGTCATCCTCAGCTACTTGAGGAGGTCAAAGCAATCTCTAGGACACATGAGATTCTGTCTCAAACCAAGACATAGACCTAACATGTAGGCCCTGCTGTGTGTGCAGCTGAGAATGAAGGGGCCATTGCTGTATTTCTATCATCCAAACTAACTTGCAGACTTGGAACCACATCTCCATGCCTACCTTTTGTTTTTCTTCAAAAACTTTGCAAGCATCCAACCACATCCTTCCTAACAGGGAGAGCCCAGTCCCTGCCGTGTCAAAAAAGCACCAACACTGAGGAGCAGGCATGGTAGAACAGAGACATGACCAGAAAGGGTTTTTGCCTGGTCCAGGCAGGCAGGGCTGATTCAGGAACATGTTCTGAGCATCCCCAATCTCACCCCACATCCAGAATGAGTCCCCAACACCCTATGTTCATTTGACATTCAGCATCTTACATTTCTTTGACTCCACAGACTGCACCGTCAAGCCCTGCACCAAGCAACTACACCTGACCTTGGCCCACAAGTTCTACCCTCACCATCAGAGGACCCTGGAGCAGCTGGCCAGAGCTATCCAGCCCAGTCACACCTGCCAGTGGACAGCTGCCCTGTACTCCCGGGACATGCGTTTTGTGCACTACCAGGTGAGAGGACCTGGCCTGGCTGGTGGGCTGGCCCAGACTTCCTTTCTAGTAGGAGGTGAACAAAAGAACACTCCTTGGCTGTCACTCAGCTCTACACCCCTCCCTGAAGGGAAGAGGGGGATACCCTCTGCTGGATTCTAGAAAGTACCATTCCTTTCTAGATGAGTCGTTTCAAAAGACAATGAGAGCTCTTCTGTGGTATTAGAAAGGCCCATTGTCAAGATGGGCCAAACCATGCTTTGCTTATTCATTCACCCTGCGTAATGATTTTGGTGGGTTTCATTCCGAGGTTCCTTTCCTAAGAGCTGATTAGTTGAGGAGGAAAGTATGCCACACAGGGAATAAGTAAGAGGGAGTCTCCAAATCCCTTGTCGTAAGAGATTGTGAATAGCTTCACACCAAGGAAGGTGGATATACACATTTGGTCACACTGTAAGGTCTTTCCTATAAGAGAAACAGGTGTGTGTGTGTGTGTGTGTGTGTGTGTGTGTATAGACAGACAAACAAACAGATAGATAAATGGTAGATGAGTGGATAGATGGGTAGGTGGGTGGATGGATAGATAGATAGATAGATAGATAGATAGATAGATAGATAGGTAGATAGATAGATAGATGGATGAAGGGAGAATAGGTGGGTGGGCAGTGAATGAATGAAGGACAGGTGGGTAGGCAGGTAGATGGATGAGTAGACAGATGGCTGGCTGGATAGATGAATGAATGGAAAAATAAGTGGGCAGATTGATTGACAGACTGATGAATGAAAACGTGGATGGAGGGATAGATGGATAGGTGGAAATGGGTATGTGAGTGGATGGGCAGAAGAATGCATGGGTGGATGGGTGGAGGGTGGGCTAAAAGATGAACAAACACGTCAGCGGGCAGATAAATGAATGGGCAAGTGGGTTGGAGGATGAGTAGGCAGATGGGTGCACAAAAGGATGGGTGGAAGACAGACAATGAACTGTATTGGCATTTGGCACTGTTCTACACTGCTCCACGCTGGTTGCACACTGTGTATTATAGGCAAAGGCACGATGGGGCTTTGGAGGCATAAGACCCATCAGAGGAACCAGAAGGCTAGGCTGGAGGTGATCTGGCTTCCTACTGCTACTGCTTCCCAGACAAACCCTCACTAAGACCTGGGTCCACTACCTCCCTTCTAGACCCTGAAGGTGCTGTTCCAGTACAAACCCCAGAATGCGGATGAGCTAGTCCTCAGTCCTGGTGAATACATCTTCGTGGACCCCACTCAGCAGGAGGAAGCCAGTGAGGGCTGGGCCATCGGGATCTCACATCGGACTGGCTGCCGGGGCTTCCTGCCAGAGAACTACACCGAGCGAGCCAGTGAGGCTGACACCTGGGTTAAGCACAGGTGAGAACGTCCTCCCTCTGTCAGTTATCACCTGAAACAGTGAGCTTTCAGATGGTTCCGTCCTTAAGAAAACAGTCCCCATACTGGCCACGTTATCCCTCTGCGCACACGGTAGGCGTATGGTCTATTTATGGTTTCTGCTGATAACCCTCCGGAAATCAGATTGCTTCAATTACTCTCCTGAGATAGCACTGTGAAATACTTCCTTTTTATGAGCACCAGACAGTGCACACAGAGGTCAGAACTGGGCCTCATAGTGTTCTAAGGAGGGCTAGCAATTTTCTAGTGTTCTATAACTAAATGACACAGATTTAACTGGGTCCTCTGCTGGGGGTCCTACAAGGCTGTGATCCTGGCGTGGCTGGCACTGGGGTCTCAGCTGAGGCTCGGGGTCCTTCCCTGAGATCATGTGGTTGTTGGTAAAATGTATTTCCTGGAAGCCAGCATACACTTGATGGTTCGTTTCTTCCAGCTCAGTTGTCTGATCTCTTTATTTCAGCATCTAGCACCATCTGTCAAGGCTAAGGATTTTCAAAGTGATCAGAACTAGAATGGTGGTGGTGTTGGGAATGTATTGGCTCCTCCTCCACGGCACCTGTCTTCTCTCCCATTTTACTATGAGCAAAAAGGAGAAACTTGGTGTTAGCTTTGACCCTGTGCTTAGAGTTAACCTGAGCTATTTAACCAACTCCATTCTTTCCCAGTTCTGTTCCCCAAGAACAATGTTGCTAAGTATTTTTCTGCAACATAGGGATCTTTCCCCAGCTTCCTATGTCTGTGTCTCAGTCCTGTGGGCATCCCTGGGCAGCAGCAGTCACCTTCACACTCTGTGCACTCTGCTGGAATAACCATGGCTTTTTATTTGCTTTTTCCCTGTGTGTGTGTTTACAAGCACACAGCATGCTGTACCTGTGTGCAGTATGCATGTTTGCTGAACATTGTCTGTGGACAGATTTTCTAGCCTCACTGTATCCAGGGAGCTCTTTCCTGTCTCTCTTTCTATCAAAGCTGATTCACAAGGCAAAAATGTGGAACCCCTACAAAAATCATGTTTTATTTATGTGCCTATTGGAAGCTGGATAAAGAGTGTGGTAAATGTTCTGGTAGATAAAACCTCTGTTTAGAATAAATTAAGAAGTAATGTACTTTGAATATTCGAAGCAAATGATTGATTTTAGTCATTTTTACCAAATCATATTTTAAAAGTGTAGTTGTGACTGGCAGAGGCTCGTGGGGAAAATGACTTTGCAAGAAGTTGTTATTTTTAAAAACTGGAGGTTTTTTAAAAAATACTAAATAAGATCAGATGAGTTCTATGCTACTGTTTCTTCCTGTTAATTAAGCTTACATCTGGGTTGCTTGAGAAGCCAGGGACAGCATTTGTGCCCTAAGGCCACCAAATGCAGTTGACAACAGAGTAGGTCCCCCACCACCCCTACCCAGGCTACCCTGGGACATACTGTGTTGCTATATAGCAAAAGATGACCTTGAATTTCTGATCCTCCTGCCTCCATCTCCAGAGTATTGGTATTACAGTCATGTGCCATCACATGGGTTTCATGTATGCTAAGCAACTGAGCTAGCCACGGACTCTTATATGTGCTTATGAATCTGTTATATACACTGATATAAAATAGCTTTTAAAATGCATGGATTCAGCCAGTTCTGCAGTGGGCCGTTCCATGACATCTTAACCTCATATGCTAATTCATAAGAGCTGAGGAGCACAGCTATAAACTCGGGAAGGAAAATTCAGCCATGATTCCAACGCTTTATATCAATTGTCAGTTCATGAGCCACAGTCACAAGGGCCCAGAGAGAGAGCTGCACACACCCTCCGGTGAAAGCTGAGTTCCCAGCTTGGGTGGTGAAGGGGAGATCAATGTCACAAACTCAAGGAAGCTTTTACTTCCTACAGACGCCAGGTGATCAATTAGCCGCTTTAGAAACAGCAAAACATAGGACCAGAGATGTTGGCATCAGGCTCCAGGAGGCTGGGGGTCCTTTAGTGCCCACCCCCCCCCCATCCTTCTCTCCTCGCTAGGGCAGAAAAATCTCACTGTGGCGGAGAAAACATAGGCAAAGAACAGGCTGGATTCTGTAGCTGCTGTGGCTAGCAACAGTTCCACTTCTCATTCCGTGTGTCACCTCAGAAGGGTCCTACCTTGTGACCCTGACCTTCCTGCGAGACCAGCTTCTGTAAGGAACCAGTGTATATTCCAAAAAATTGCAAGAAAAAGCAAGTTCTGGCTGAATGCTGTGGTGTACCCGATGGGGTCCCCCCTCTTTCTCACAGGATAGCATCAGGCCCCAAGCTGACTGAGGGGTGACTAGGCTGGGTCGGCTATGGTTTCTACAGCTGCTAAACATTCTTTTAAACATTTAAAGAGGTTTAAAATTGGGGCACGGTGACGCTCAGCCTAAATCCCAGTACTTAGGAGGCGGCAGACTTCCGAGTTCCAAGGCAGCCAGGGCTACACAAAGAGACCCTGTCTCAAGAGAGGTTCAGGCATATCTGAATGAAAGTGTTAATCACTGGGGAATGCAGTCAGACAACTGTGTGCACAGAGAGTTGACCTGTGGGCAGACAGCTTGTTGTATAGACATTTGCCATGTATCTCTCAAGGCACAGGGCTCACACAAGGCTTGCTTCATACAGACAGCAAGAAGCCACCGCCCAGGGAAAGAGCTGCAAACCACGTTGGAAAAGGCCCCTTCCTGCTCAGAGGACACCCTTTCAGCCCTTAAGGTGGCTGCCATGTGAACACATTGTAATCCACCAGCACCCATGTAACCTCCTGAGGGCCCAGGAGTCCTGACCCAGCGCCCACCTATTACTTATAATCACCTGTTACTGGAAGGTGGCTGTGGGGGAGGGCACACTCCTGAGCGACCTCAGTTTCAGGCATCTTCACAGGGTGTGGATACAGCCTAGCTAGAGATCAGTGAGGCAAGAGCTGAAAACTAGAGCCCAGGAGGACCTGAGGCTGTCTTCCGACCACGTGGAGGACATCCCATCACAGAAGACAAGAAACCCCATGAAACAAGCTGGTGGTGGGAGACTCCTACAGCAAGAGCACTGTTGCTGAATGAGAGGTAGCCCTCCAAACATGCATATGCTGAAGCCTGGGTGGGCTTTTGTTTTTTAAAGAAAGACTTTTAGATTAAGGTAAAAACAAGGTCTTACTATGATCCCAACCTTATACTTTGTTCAGAAGGGCAATCATTGAGGACACAGGGGGAAGATGCCATCTTATCTTCAAGCCCAGAACAGAGTCCCCAGGATGAATCACAAGCCCCTTGACCTTAGACCTCCCAGTCTCCAGGGCAGTGAGAAAATGAAACCTGTTCCGTAATCGAAGCCCCAATCTGTGTGACAGTAACCCTGGGACTTTGTCTTTGAGATGACTCATACCGAGGTGACCCCCTTCTAGGAACAAAAGGGAATGGAAACCTTAATTTCTACCTCAATTTCTACAGCACAAGTTAACCACTAAGTGGCTCTCTTAAGTCCAAGAGAAAAACAATAATGACAAAAATGTCACAAGCCCTCCCTCTCTCCCTTCCCCAGCAATGCTTGCCTTTTTAATGGAAAGACAAGCGGAGACTTCCTCTCTGACTGTAAAGTTCACAGATGTCACTCAGAGATAAGGACGGCTTCACTGTCTGAGACGTGAGCCCCGGTTACACAGGTGTCCCTGCCTTGCCCTCAGGAAGAAGAAAGCCACCAGCACTTCCTGTGTCGGGATGCTTCCGCTGTACCTGCTCTGTGTGACATGCTTGTTGAAGAGGGGCTGTGACAGTGGCGCTAGTGTGCGTCACTCTCCATCTTTGGGACCCACTCACGCCTGCATTCCAACCCACTGGTGTCTGCAGTGGGAGAATGCATAAAGAAAAGTTCGTGGTTTTGGGGCTATGTGCCCCGCCTTTAATGACTGAGCCATCTATCCAGTCCAAGACCATCTGGAAGAGTCCATAAAAGGTTACAAATCAAGACAGGACAGGACACAATGACAGGCACAGAGGACTATGACATTGGGTAACCAAAAAATACATAATAAGACTAGATAGATAGCTCCGTGGTTAAGAGCACTGGCTGCCCTTTCAAAGGACCTGAGTTCAATTCCCGGCACCCACGCTAGGGCTCACAACTGTCTATAACTCCAGGCCCAAGGGATCTAATGCCCTCTTCCAGCCTCCATGAATATCAGGCATATGCATGATAGAAAGTGAAATTACCTAGCGCAAGTGAGAAGGAAACACAGAACACGCAACAAACCCGCTTAGGAGTTTATTGGCGGCAAGGGGTACAGACCTGGTGAAGCCGGTGTGCAGAGAGAGAGGGCCGAAGNGAAGATGGCACGTCCAGCTTTTAAGGGCTGCCTAGCATGTGCACACAGTGGGATGACGTGCTTACATCATACGCAGATGACAGAGATCACGCATGCCTGCAAGGGCTCACGCAGCTGCGTCATACGTAGGTGATGCAACCATGCTATATTTGGGTCACACCTGAGGGCTTGTCCGCACATGTGTGGCCCTGGAACCCAAAAGTGTCAGCCATATTGTGGCTGAAATCATAACGTTCCACCCTTTTGTTTATTATAAAAATTTGGAGAGTTTGGGATCTTTAATGGGTAGGGATGGGGCAAAAATTTGAGGAATTTGGAGTCTTTAATGGGTGGGAATGGGACATCGTAAGGTCTCTAGTGACTGCTCCCTGCTGATTTTGTGGGCATCGGAGAGTTAAGATGCTTGACCACGTCCTGGGGTGGCTGATTACTTTTGTGTTTTTCCTGGGCTCTGTGGAACTGGCTGGCTGGCTTGGACCTTGCAAGATGCCGGAAAGGCAGAAAATTATGTCTGGAAAAATTTTAGATCCTGGTGATTAAGGGGGGAGAGTCCCAAGATGGAAGATAGAGGGAGGTTTGGGGGGGAATGGAGAAGGGAATTTCTCAGGGGTTCCCAAGACCAGGAATGAAAATGGAAGAATTAAATGATACTTATTCTGGACGTTTAGAGTCTGGTCCATTTAGATAGGTCCAGTTGGCTCCCTGGAGCTTATAAAAAATGTTTGAAAAGAAATAAATTTTAGACATATTAAAAGCTTATGATTATGACAGTATTGTGTTGGAACAGAAGATGGTGGGGAGGAGGGAGGAAAAGAAGGGGGAATTATTAGACCCCTCAATGTTTTACCTGAAGCAAACCTTAAGGCACTTGTTCTCCTTAGCATCATGGTATTAGCTTAACATCCAGGAGACACTGCTGCGGTCAGTGATGAACCTGTTATGTTAGAGTCTGTTTTGTGAGTTCTTGGAGTCTGGGGCTGTGAATGTCCCCAAACTCATTATTGTTTCTTACCACCTGGGCTTTTGGCAATCCTTGTACCTCCAACTCTGTTTACTGATGGTCCCTGTAATGACAGCTGAATGGTTAACTGGAAATTTAAGTATGACATTGGAGATGTAGAGAAGTTGGTAAAGCAGATAGGAGGAAGAGGAAGAGGGAGAATAGACGGAGTTTTTGGCACAGGAGAGTTGAGTGATAATAAAATGAAATAAAAATGAAACTTTTATTTTTCTGGAACTGGAGAAAAGGTGGCTGATCTTGGTGACCTCTGGAACATAAGGGAACAGGGCCCTGTTTGAGATACTGTATACGAGGGGGTATCTTGAGCTGGAAGAGTAAAAGGTTTAAGGTGAAACAGGTGGATCCAATGAGAGAGTCCCTCAAGCTTGGCAGCTGTGGGAGTTACAAGAATTACTTTAAAGGGGCCCTGCCATTTAGGGGAATGGGGTGAGGGGCGTTGGTCTGGGGAAGAGAATAGAACCTGATCCCCTATTTTAATCAGCGGTGGGCATGAATGGGCACATGATTGAGGTAATGAGTAGTCGGTAAAGTCCCATAATAGGAAGTGAAGATGGGATAACAGCAGAGTAAGCAGGTGATCAGGAAGGGGAGAGGTTTTAGGTGAGAGGCCGGGGGTTAAAACCAGCTGCCCGTACATGAGTTCAAAGGGTGAGATGGAAGGGGGCTTTTGGGGAGAGCCCTAAGCCTAAGAAGGGCCAGAGGCAAAAGTTTTATTCAGTCAAGGTGAAGCTCCTGTGACATCTTAACAAGAACATTTTTTAAGGAATGGTTAGTTCGTTCTACCTTCCCTGAAGACTGAGGATGGTTTGGGATATGAAAATGCCAGGGAATGTTAAGAGCCATAGATAAAGTTTGAGAGATCTGGAAAGTAAACTCTGGGCCATTATCTGACTGAAGAGAGGTTGGGATTCCAAACCAGGGGATAATTTCTCTGAGAAGAACATCAAAAACTGTCTCAGCCCTCTTGCTAGTGGTGGGAAATGCTTCAATCCACCATGACATGGTGTCCACCAAAACCAGGAGATATTTAACTTGTCTGACTGTGGGCATATGTGTAAAATCAAGCCGTCAGTCAGTTCCTGGAAGGGAGCCCCTGGCCTGGTAGGTAGGAAAAGGGAAGCAATGATATTTGATCTTGGGATCAGACTTTTGACAGATTTTACAAGAGGCAGTGATAGCTTTTAAGAACTCTAAATCCTTCAGGGGTGAGTTGGAGGTGAGCCCTGACAAAATGAAACAGAGCTTTGCTATTAGGATGAAAGAGCTGATGTAGGTAGGGCAGAATTTGCTGGATATCAGGGTGTCTGTGAGAATGTGGGCTGTAATGTATGAACCCCCTGAGGTGATTGAGGTAGGTTTGGGCTCTGGAATGCTACTGTTCTAGCTGCTTGGTCAGCCCGGTTATTTCCCTTAGAAATAATGGAACTGTTGGTCTGATGAGTCCGACAGTGAATAATTCCTAAAACTTTGGGTAGATGGGAGGCTTTTAACAAGTCCATAATGTAACCTGAGTTAGTTGTGGATCCTCCTTTCACTGTAAGAAGCCCAAGCTCCTTCCAGACAGCTGTGTGAAACAGGAAAATAGGAAATGCATATTTGGAGTCTGTGTAAACATTTAAAGATCGTACCTTTGCTAACTGGAAGGCAGGGGTAAGGGCTATTAACTTAGCCTGCTGATTAGTGGTATGGGCAGGGAGTGCCTGTGTCTCCATCACCCCTGCTTTATAGGCCCTTTCACATAAAAAGGAGCTGCCATCTGTGTACCAGGTATAAGTGGCCTGGGACAGTTTGCCCTCCTGTATATGTGAGGGGTGGAGTGGTAGATCCTCTAAGGTTTCTATGCAGGAATAAGTGTTAGACTGAGGTAGGAGATTTGAGATATTAAGGGGTGGACAGAATTGAAAAGTGAGTGTGGCATCTTCTACTATGGAGGGAAAGAACTCGGGAAGGGGGTAAGATTTGTAAGCCTTTGTAAGTTAAGAGATGGAACAGATTGTGGTGGGAGAAGATAGTGATGGGTGACCCAAAGGTTAGGTTTTTTTTGTTGTTTTTTTGGTTTTTTTTTTTTTTTGACTCATGAGTTAGAAGCTTAGCAGCCACTAAAGCACATATGCAGGGTGCCCAGCCCTGAGTGGTGAGGTCCAGCTTCTTTGACAGATATGCAAAGGAAGGTCCCAGCTGATGTCCTAGGACCCCAAGGGCATATCCCTCCTTCTCTGTTATGTAGAAGGAGAAAGGATGAGTTAAATCTGGGAGATGAAGAGCTGGGGCCTGGATAAGGGCTTGCTGGAGTCTCTGGAAGGGTTTAGTAATGGGATGGAGAAGGGGCTCATGCAGAGAGCCCAGAGCAGGCTCGTATAATGGGTAGGCAAGGAGAGAAAAAGAGGTAGGCCCTCAGAATTCCCTCAGTACCGAGTATGTGGCGCCATTGTCCAAGAGAAAGGAGATGGCCGTCCTGATACCCATGTTTACCCATGGCTCCCTGTTACAGATGACGGTTGTGGTTGTCATGGCACCAATGTAATTACCTGGCACAAGTGAGAAGAAAACACGGAACACGCAACAAACCTGCTTAGGAGTTTATGGGGGGGGCGTGTACAGACCTGGTGAGGTCAGTGTGCAGAGAGAGAGAGAGCTGAAGATAGCATGTCCAGCTTTTAAGGGCTGCCTAGTGCATGTGCACAGAGGGATCACGTGGTTACTTCATATGCAGATGACGGAGTTCATGCATGCACCCAAGGGCTCACGCAGTTGCATCATATGTAGGTGATGCAACCATGCTGCATGTGGGTCATGCCTGAGGGCTTGTCTGCATATGTGTGGCCCTGGAACCCAAAAATGTCAGCCATACTGTGGCTGAAATCATAACAAACATACATACACACGGGCAAAGCTTCCATTTACATAAAACAAAACAAAAACATTTAAATGCATGAACTATGTCAAAATTAATAGACTTTCTGTACCTGGATAATAGGTTTCTCCACCAACACAGTAAGCTAGATTAAGTCAAATTGAAAAAGTATAAGAACAGGTTTATTTGAACAAAGCAACTCCTGGATGGGTTCTCTGGTTCCAGAAATGGAGGCTGGAGAAGCCACATACCCAAACTAAACCAGGGAGATTATATATGCTGTAGGCTAGGGGAGATGATGTCTGCCACCAGCTGGGTTGCCCAGGTATGGTCAAAAGCTGGAATGTTTAGTCAGGGACACGGGCTGTAGACAACAGGGGAGGAAGTTGCAGTAGTCACCAGGAATGGAAAATTGGGGTTTTTTTGGCACCTTTTCTTTGTTGGAGATTCTCCGAGAGGGTGGGATGGGACTTTCCAGATTCAGGGGCAAGTTGGAGGTTCCAGCTGAACAGAAATACGACAAAGTCACAGACAGCCTAGTACTTGGTCACAGCTGTTAGGCAGACAACGGCAGCCAAGACACAGGATGAATGATACCATGTAGCTCTAGACAGGTTTCGGGCTGGAACCATGGGGAGCTGTTGGTTGCCATGTGATAATCTGTTGTAAGAAAAGGGCTAAGAAATGAAAACATACCTCATAGATGGTTGAGGAGAGTCAACCACAGGGGACCTGTCCACTTCAGAGTCACTGCATGCTGCAGACTTGACTTTATTTCGTGGTCTTGATCCTCACTGCAGAGGCTGATGCAGATATTCCCAGGAACATCCATGATCAGATACCATGGTGACGACATGTTATGACTCTATTCACTGCCTCTCCTCTTCCCCCACAGGACATACACGTTCAGTCTAGCCATGGACCTGAACTCCAGGAAGGACGGTGACGCCAGCAGCAGAAGAAATGGGGAGTTCCACCCTCCATCCATGTCAAGGAACATTAGCAGCATTCAGGCTCTGCAGGTAACAGGACCCTGGGTTTTGCTTGTTTGTTTGTTTGTTTTTTGTTTTGTTTTTGTGAGTAAACTGTGCTTGCTGGTTTAGCACCCTGGTAGACATGACTGCCAGAGTTTGGCTTTTCTCCCAAGTGAGGATGGACCCACACACATAGGAGCCCCTCCTGAAGAATGATACCCACTGCTCAGGCCCCCCAGGCTACTCTGCAAAGCACAGGCCTCCCCAAAAGCACAGTAGGCCTGTGCCCTGGACTGTGAGGTGCAAAGGACAACCCAAAAAGGAGGGCATAGACACTGGCAGGCAAAGAATTCAAACAAAATAAAATATGGCCTCTGCACCCCATTGATTCAACCAAGTAGGGGTGGAAAACATTATGGAAGACTGTCTCTTATCTTCCTCAGCTTCCCAGTATTGCAACGGAATACCTAAAATGGCCAACTTCACAAAATGAAAGGTTTTTCTTGGTTTGTTTGTTATGGTCTCAGAGTCTTCAGTCCACCCTCATTGGGCCCTGTTGCTTTGGGCCTGTGGTGGTACAACTTACCATAATGGATACAGACAGTAGAAGAGACTTGGCTACCTGATAGAGGCCAGAAAGCAAAGAGAGGAAAGGAAGGCCTGGGTCCCAATAGCTCTTCTCTTCCAGTGCCCTGCTTCTTAAAGGTCCCTGTCTTGGTAGTACCATAGGCTGGTAAGCAAGCCTTCTACATGCAAGCCTTTGAGTAACATTCAAGATCCAAACTGACTGTGGTGACATATATCTAATCCCAGTACTTGAGAGGTAGAGGCAGGAGGATAGCTGTGAGTCTGAGAAAGTTCCAGGGCAGCCTGGGCTACAGTGTCAGAACATGTCTCAAAAGAAAAACAAGAAAGAAAGAAAGAAAGAAAGAAAGAAAGAAAGAAAGAAAGAAAGAAAGAAAGAAAGAAAGGGAAGGAGGGAGGAGGGAAATAAGGAAGGAAGGAAGGAAGGAAGGAAGGGAGGGAGGGAAGGAGGGAGGGAGGGAGGGAGGGAGACAGACAGACAGACAGACAGACAGACAGACAGTGGCTTCACCAGTACTGAACACATACAGAGTTTCCCTGCCATTGCTCTCTAACAATACAGCATAGCTATTGTTCACATAGCATTAAGTGGCATTAGGTGTTTAAGTTGCCTGCAGATGAGTTAGAATACACAGGGGATGTGTCTATGTTCAGTGCAAATATCATGTCATTTTATACAAGGGACTTGAGCATCTGTGAATTTTGGTACCTGCAGGGGTTCTCAGCCCACCTCAGGTGCACTTCAGGATGGCTGTCCTACTCACAAAGACCACTTGGGCAAGCAGAGACTGGCCAGCTAGAGGAAGGCGATGAGGAAGAAGAACAAGGCTTCTTGCCTGGGTGCTCAGAGGCAAAACACACACCTGGGCACTACGAGAAAGCTGCCCTGGGACAGATTCCAACATGGGTAGTCCTGGAGGGCTCCTCAGAGGAGGAAGAGCAGCAGTAAATGAGGAAACAATCAATAGATTAATAAATGAGAGAGAGAGAGAGGAAAGAGAGGAAGTAGCAAGAAAGAAAGAGGGGAAGGAAGAGAGGGAGGGAAAGAGGTAGGAAGGGAGAAAAGAAGGAAGGGAGGGAGTAATAAAGGAGATAGATAGATAGATAGATAGATAGATAGATAGATAGATAGATAGATAGATAGATAGATGATAGATAGATACTTGGAAGAGACAAAAAAGTTGAAAAGTACATGTCTGTGACAGAGTGAGTCCTCTTTTCATCTCCTTTATGATGTCATGGTATCCAGGAAATTAAACTTAGGGAGAAATGGAAGCAATCCCCCAGCCTCATCACTGTGGAGGCTGGCAGCCTGACTCTAGCTGCTGAGCATCTTGTGAGAGACTCTGTGGATACTGTAGAGGGAGTCTGATTAATAACCCTGTGTCCCGTTGTTTCCACCCCAGGCTACCATCATGAGGAGAGGGATGCTGGTAATACGCCATGGGGAGAGAGTGGACCAGGTCTTTGGGAAGTCGTGGCTACAGCAGTGCACTACCGCCGACGGTAGGTTGAGTCCAGATGACTCTAGACAGCCTACGTGTCCTTGAGGAACCCTAAATCCCAACAGTCTGTCCTGTGGAGCCACCGCGGCAGAGCTGCTGTGGGAAATGGCAGTGCCCCAAGGTTTTGGTGTCACTTGTATGGATATGGAAACCTACCTACATACACATTGGTCACGTGTCTGAGCCAGGCCCTTGGCATCAGTTCAGTGACATGTGACAATTCTGGCTTCCCCTTTTCTCTGATGAGAGAGGTTTAGCTGCTTGTTTCTGGTCCCATAGCTCAGAGCTAAAGGTCAGAATTTCCAACAGGTTGACAGATTTTAGAGGTCATTGTCAAATTCAAGGAGACCAGGGTGTCATGCAGCCCATATTCTGGCCCTGCATTCAAACACCTGACTGAAGAATTCCCAAGATGGGGCACCTCCAGCCAAGTGTGTACTGTCCTAGCAGCAGCAATACACACCAGAGGCTTCACACTACACACTGATACCCCCTCAGAAGCCTGTCCTGGAGAGACACATTTCCTCCCCTTGTGTGAGTGATAAGCGCTGAAAAGACAAAATGGGTCCCTAGTCCCTGGGCTCAAACCCATGTGTTCTGCATTTGAGAATATGTCACAGGCCTGAAAAGCAATATTTGCTCCATGAGCTGAGTTCACATCACAGAGAACATTCTAGAAACAAACAACACTAGCAAGGCTTAGACAATAACCTTCCCATGTGGATCTCGGTTTAGGGGTCTTGAGAGACAAATGGATCTGACTCAATGGTCACAGATGTCCTCTACTTGTTTCTACCTTAGGAAAATACTACAGGCCGGACCTGAACTTCCCCCGCAGCCTGCCCAGGAGGAGCAATGGCATCAAAGACTTAGAAAATGATCCGCCTTTATCATCCTGTGGAATTTTCCAGGCCAGACTTGCTGGTATGTTTAAGAGCATTCCTTAGAAGAAAGAATCTCAGATTCTGAGGACCATAGAGAAAATAAATGCACTGATCAAAGAAAACAGCAAAGCCAACAAAAAAAAAATAAAAGAGCATTCCTACCAGAGAGAAACAGTGATACTAATGATCTTAGCTGTACACACTGAGCCCCTGCCATGCATGCATCCTTTGACATCAGTACTGGCATTTTCTATACTCTGCCCTTCCAGGGACACAGAGATGGTCTTAATTACTGTTGTATTGCTATGAAAATATGTGACCAAGGCAATTAATAAAAGGAAGCATTTGCTTGAGGGATTGATTATAATTTCAGAGGGTTAGTCCATGAGCATCATGGCAGGGAGCATGCCGATAGACAGGCAGGCATGGACTGGAACAGTAGCCGAGAGCTTACATCTGATCCACAGGCAGGAAGCAGAAGGATCCTGGGCCTGACTTAAGCTTTTTAAACCTCAATTCCCTCCCCCAGTGACACACCTCCTCCAACAAGGCCACACCTCCTAATCCTTCCCAAACAGTTCCACTAACTGGGGACCAAATATTCAAATATATGAGCCCAGGGTGGGGGCATTCTCATTCAAACCACAGAGATGTCAGTGATTTTATCCAGGGTCACACAGTTAGGGACCAAAAGTGCAGCAATCTGATCTAGTAATGGATGGTTGGTGATGCAAGCAATAAAATATAGGGAGGGGGCACTGTAGGGAGAGGACAATTAATGAGCACTACATACACCAAAAGCATCACTTACAAAATTAAAACCGAGCTGAGGAGATGGCACAGTCAGCCAAGGGTTCGCTGTGCAAGCACAAGTTTGATCCTTAGAACCTGCATGAAAAAATTGGGTGTGGTGACACGCCCTCATATTCCCCATGCTAGAAACACAGAAACAGGTTGCTCCCCAGGGTTCACTGGCCAGCCAGCTCCTAGGCCAGCCAGCCTAGCCTACACAGTGATTTCCAGGACAGTGAGAAATGCTGTCTTAAAGGGTGAAGAACATTCCTGAGGATGACTTTGGAGGTTGACCTCCGACCCCCATATACATGTATACACACACACTGTGAAGGCACACTCCTTCACAGGATATATTGCACTGTCCCTCAGAGCTTTGAGTTAAGAATGGCTAGTCACTCCTTCCATGAGATCTAATTTGGGGAGCTGAGGAGATTGCTGTACTTGTCTGGTGCACATCTTATAAATTCGGAAAGCTGAGCCTAAGGGAACAAATGGACAGCCCAGTCTCTGGTTGGCCAACTAAAGGAGCCCAGCAGAACCAGCTCACCTCCTTCTCGCCTGCGTGAGTACACGTTGTTTCCCTGCCAGCTTTCTCGATGGACATTCTGCATTCATTCTATGACTGTTTCAGGCTCCCAGTGAGGCAACAGTTGGTTCTGGGGTTGGGACATACAAGCCACACACAGCTAAACAGAATCCCTTCTCTCTTAGGGCAATGTGGCTGATGAACACATGTGCATGCATGTGTCATATGTGTGTCTCCTAAAAGTCCTGTCTTCATGCCTAAACACTTATGGAAATGTTTGAACAGTTCTCAGTGTGTGTGTCTTGTATGTGTGGCAAGCATCCTGAGCACTTGTATTAGTGCCAAAGCCTAGGTGTTTTAAACATCATTAGTCACATGACAATGCTAAGGTTGAAGTCCCCAAGGTCATGGTACCAGCAGATGGCTCCTTCTGAGGCTATAAGGAAGACCTGTCCCTCCCTGTGGCTCCATGGGATCTTTGCCCCATGCCTTCCCATCATCCCTCTGTATCTGTGTCTCTACTCAGCCTTCTCCTTTACAGAAGACACATTGGTATAGAGTCCAGCCTTATTTTAACTTGTTCTCTGTTGCCCCATGGGATGCTGGGGGATAGTTTCCAGGATCCTCCATGGTCATAGTCAATGGGTACTCAAATCCTTTATATTAAAAAAAAAAAAAAGACCATAAATTTTGCATGAAATCTGCATAGTCAGCACAATCGTGTTTTCTGATCATTTTGAACCCTATCAATCCTTGGATACAGATCACAGACAAGGAGGGCTGACTAAGGTCCCATCCTCAAGCACCAGGGGTCACTATTCCAGCTTGCCTATCGCTGACAATCCCCAAGCCTCCTGGCTTTCATGCCAGATCCCTCTTGTGCCATGGAGCTTCCTTTGCCACCAGCTGGGCTTCTGATGTCACAAAAAAACACGATTGGATTACAGCTTGTCATTCCACAAGCCATGACTAGCCTGGAAGTGACCAACTAAAAGATGTAACTATATAAAGCAATGTTCATGCTAAGCCTATAGTGCAGACCTGACTTAAGCAGGGCATGGTGGGTTCTCAGCCCACAGAGTCACTTCTATCTGGAGCCCAGGACTCCTTCTAGACTCACCCAGGCTGTGAGCAGAACTCAGGTTCTTAGGAATGCAGCACTGGAACCTTCCCTGGCGGCTACTGGCCACGCTCTGCTTCTGAGGCCACACCCATGCCTTGTAACATGGGCCCCTCCATGTTTCAACACAACCAAGGAATATGGGTCATATGCCAAGTACATCCCTCTTTGGTTTCCTCTCATTCCTGCTCTGTGGCCAGCTAGAAGGAACCTCCACTACCCATGGGTTCACTGACCCCAGGTCAGCCCCCTCCACCATACAATACAATGTAGTCACAAGAACGATTGCTGGTCACAGTTGCAATTTCTCCCCTAACCTGGTGGGGGTTCCCGCAGATGTGGACAGCCGTGGATAGGAGCCTCATTCATCCCTGCCCACCGCCATGACAAACCCTCATCCTGGGCTGGTGCATGAAGGGTGTTTCCTACTTCCTGTTTTCCAGGAGAGGCTCTGCTGGACAGTGGCATCAGAGTCACTGCCGTCTATGTGTCACCAGCCCTGCGCTGTGTGCAGACAGCCAAGCACATCCTGGAAGGTGGGTCGTTGATCTTGAGGCCACTCTCCGTGGGGATTAAGGAAGGGTGGGGTGAATGAGATGATGGGCAGGGAACGGCCACATCTCAGCCAATAGGCAGTTAGAAACTGCCTTCTGGGGCTGCTTGAAAGAAATGAGCCACTGACATCCTAGAACGCTAGGGTTGTAGGACCCATGGGAACTGGTGTCAGAGGGTCAGTCAAGGTCTGTCATCATACTTTGCTCCTCTGGCTCCTTTCCTCTGGGTGTCTCAGTAATTATAAAGGAACACGCACAAACCTAGAGAGCTGGGGCTGCTGTAGACCCTTCTAGATCCAACAAGCAAGACAACCAGGAACAGGGTTGATGCGCCACCTGGCTGTCAGAGACCCATTAGCGGATCCTCTCGGTCATGCGATGTGATATAGCCACGTGGGCAGCTGGGGTTCACACGGCAGCGGATGGAGGCCCTCCTTGTTCACTGCAGAACAACGTTCCCGTCCAAGGTCAGCAGTTAGGAGGCAGGGTCCCTGCCCCCAGTCAGAACGCCTCTCCATTACAATTTCATCCCAGACAGCCTTACTTGATGGGTCTTTCGGTCAAGATAGAATGCTTGGGGAGGGTGAGCTGTGAGGAATCGGAATGTTCCAGGCGTTTCTCTCCAACCCGTTACCTCTTGCCCACCAGGGCTCCCTGTTACTATCACCGTATCATTCTATCAAGGCTGTGGCATGGGTTGAATGAGCTGTATCTAGAGTTAGAGTCACACCCTATGGTGGGCCTGCTGCCTATGGTGTCCCCTAGCAAAGCAGTGTAGTCCCTGCCTGGTGGTTTGGGTCTCAGAGACAGCAGTGCTGTGCTTACATCCCAGGATGCCGTTTGCCAGGCAAGAGACAGGTTTGTGAAGAGTTTCCCTGGGCTCGTGTATAGGTTGGTGCCCTAGTTTGTTTTTCCATTACTGTGATAAAACACTAACCAAATCCAACGGGGGGAGGAAGAGGCGTATTTGACTTATACTTCCATGACACACCCACCAGTCAGAGAAGCTTTGATCGGAACTCAAAGCAGGAACCTGGAGGCAGGAGCTGAAGCCATGGAGGAGCTCAGACTGCTTTCTTATAGTGCCCAGAATTGCCTGTCTAAGCACAGCACCACCCACTGTGCTTTTGGCCCTCCCATACCAGTAATTGATGAAGGAAACAGGCATAGTGGTACACACCTTCAGTCTCAGCACTTGGGATACAGAAGCGGCAAGTCTCTGAGTTTAAGGACTCTGTGTAGTGAATTTCAGGACAGTTAGGGACTCGCCCTGCAGACTAATCTCAAGGAGGCATGTTCTCGATGGTGGATCTCTTCCCAGATGTCTGCCTTGTGTCGAGCTGACAAAACCACTAACTAGCATGGTGGGTCTAGCATGAAGAAACTTCTTTAGGTGACGTTCACACTTGTTTTCCGCTAACCCCAGAACTCAAACTTGAGAAGAAGCTGAAGATAAGAGTTGAGCCTGGAGTCTTCGAATGGATGAAGTGGGAGGCCAGCAAGGCCACTCCAACCTTCCTGACCTTGGAGGAGCTGAAAGAGGCGAACTTCAACGTTGACCCTGATTACAGGTAGGTACCTTCCCATTCTCCTCCACTCACGCTTCTCTAGGTTCTTCTTAAAGAAAATCTAGCTACTAGGTGGGGCTCTGCCATGGAGTCTGAGGGAGAATGAGCCGTGGATATAGCATGAGCAGCGGGGAGGCCATGGGAAATGGCTTGAGGGTTGTGGTCTTGCTCGGCTAAACCAACAAGACTCCTGGTGGAGGCAGCTACAGCTACACACATCACCTGGAGGCGATGGAGGCTGGGGAACCCGACCATATGTGGGAGATGGGGTGCTCCTGCTAAAACTGGCCCTGAAAGGATGGACACAGATGGACCTCATCCAGAAAGGGGTCCCAGTGAAGGGGAGTGTCTTTGTCCTTTTCTGAGTAGACTAGGAGGTACAGTTTTCCTGTTTCTCAGTGAGCATCCATGCTGGGGGAAACACAGTCCTCTGCTGGTTCGGAGCACACCCGGGAGCCCCTGCTGGTCATGCACTCATGAGCCCTGCCTGGCAGGCCATCTGGAGGATTGTGGTCCCTCTTAGCTGCTCCAGCACACACACAGCTGGCCACCAGAAGGCTCTAGGACAGCAGCCATGTCTCTCTGCATCCTCCTTTCAGGCCTGCCTTCCCCCGCTGCTCCCTCATGCCAGCCGAGAGCTATGACCAGTACGTGGAAAGGTGCGCCGTGAGCATGGGACAGATCATCAGCACGTGCCCCCAGGACAGTGAGTGTCCCACTGGTTTGAGGAGGAACACCCTCGGGGTTCTCTGGGATGGGATTGGCTGATTCTGGGCTGTTGATGTCCCCACCCCACCCCCAGGTTCTGGCCAGGATAATAGCTCCTCTCCGCCATGGCAGGGAGTAGATGCAGCACACATACCCCTTGTTACTCGGGCCTGCACGCTCTGGTGCTGAGCACTGATGGGCCCTAAAGGACACCAGGATCTTCAGTGACTATCCATGCCCAAAGACTAGATTAATTTGAAGGGAACAACAGAAACCCGGAAGGACAGAAAGATGGAGCAGCCGATGCCTAAGAAAAGTGAGGCTAAGTCACAGTTCACCTGCCCTAACCACCAGCCATGGTCCTGGCTCTCCCAGCTTTACCTTGTCAGGCACAAAGACACACAGAGGTGCTGGGTCCCACACCAGCTGTCTGGAACCAACCATGTCACCTGAGGAGGCTCCTGAGCCCATAGACACTGCAAATCCTTATCTAAAGCAGGCACCGTCTCAGACTCCCAGTGATAAGCCAGCTAAAAAGATTGGATTGGTCTGGGTGGCAGCCATCACACACCCCTCCTGTGGTTGACAGGACCTAGGCAGCCAGCCACAAGAGGAGAGTGGCTCAGACCCCCTTTATGCCATCTCTGAAGCTGGCATACAGGCACTGTGTCCTATCCCCAGGCTCCAGGTGGGAGGCAGGGCACTTCGAATCACAGACAAATGTCTGAGTCTTCCCACCGACACCGCTTCCCAGTCCACCCACCTCACACAGGCACGGTAGCTGGACCTGCAAGACTCTGAGGAGCCCTCTGTCTTGCAAAGCGCTCTCTGTGCCTGCTCTGACCTTGGGGTGTCTTGTCTACAGTGGGTGTCACCCTCATCGTGAGCCACAGCTCAGCACTCGACTCCTGCACTAGGCCACTCCTCAGGCTCCCACCCAGAGAATGTGGAGATTTTGCCCAGCTGGTAAGAAAGGTATGTGTGCCTCTTATGCTTCCTTTACCACAGAGTAAAGCAAGCACAGGATTGTGGCACTCTCTACAGAAAGAAAACAAGCATCCAGCTGAACCAGGACTGGCAGCACCATGCGAATGTGCCCACCTGCTCCCGTGGAGGGCATGTCTGCAGGAGCCGTGGGACGGGCCATCATTCTGTCACTGCATGGCAGTCTCAGATTTCTCCATGCATATTGGGATTTTTGCAAATCTTGGCTGACCTAAGAATTCTTAGACATTAAAAAGTGGGTGAGGTGGGGTAGGTAAGGCATGTGGCAGGGAAGCCTTCAACACAAGGATCCCCAGGCCAGATCCACTTACAGATGAAGGCATGGGGGCCTAAGGATTCACTTTGTTCTTCATTCTGTGGTCTGAAGCCTCAGTCCTGAGCCTGCAGCCAGGCAGGAATAAGGTACTTTGTAGCTAGCTGGCAGGGTCCCTGCCCCCTTAGGCTTGTGGACCTGGTAATTCTGTAGGAAAAGAGGACTGACCCATGGCTCCCAGAATGCTTAGCAGCCCTACTCACCCTGGTCCCATTGTTGGGAGGGCCGATCATCCCCAGATGGAAGTAACACGATAGAGTTTGGCATTGGTTCCATGGCACCCTGGAAGCCTGGCACCATTTGGTCCCCTCCATGACATAGAAGCATCATCAGTGGGCTTAAGAAGCACCCCGATGTTGATTGACATGTAACAGAACACAATAAACATTTTAACCCTCTTCCAGATCCCATCTCTGGGGATGTGTTTCTGTGAAGAAGACAAAGAGGAAGGAAAATGGGAGCTGGTGAACCCGCCAGTGAAGACACTGACCCACGGGGCCAACTCGGCCTTTAACTGGAAGAACTGGATCTCCAGCCACTGAGCCAACCCCAGCTCGTCAGCAAGAAGTGACTGCGCCAAGCCAAGGCATGAGGCTGTGATGATGATTACAGAGGCATCCTAGTCCCTTGTCTGCTGCGACTTGGAGAAGCACAAAATACACTTGATACTCGGGGGTATTGCCATGGCTCATGCCTTGGTTACTGCCAGCTGTGGACCTGCTACCCTGCCAGCCTGACTTTGGAAGTCAGAGCGGAAGTCCGGATTAGCACACCACATTGCGACATGCGTGCTGGGCTGAAGAGAACAGAGGAACAGCCTTCCTTCCAGGAACTAAAGACTCCCCACCCCCACACTCGAAGATGCCACCCTTCTATTTTGTATGCTCTCAGGAGCCCTCCTTCCTTCTGTGGCCATCACTCTTTAGCCAGGGCCACACCAGTTGAAAGAGGAACGGTGGTCAATAAAAGAAACGGCCCACCAGATCAAAACCAGGACAGCCGCCCGCACCAGCATGTGTGTATTGGCTCCTGCTGGGACACAGTGCTGCCAGCATGGTTGTGATCTGTGATCGTAGCAGCACAAAATTCCTAACGCACATGGACTAGTGTGTGGCTCTGGAGGTCAGTGTGGGCTGTGTTCCTCCATGGAAGAGAGAGGACCCCTCCTCAGCCGTCTCCAGAATCCAGAGGCATCTGTACTTCCTGCCATTATATTTATAATGTTCTATTGCAAATCAATCAATCTAGGGAGGCTCTAAGGCATGGCTACACAGCTCCTGCCTTAAGCCTCCTGCCTCCTCCTCACAAAAGACCCTAGGACGAATTTCTCAGTAACCTAGAATCTTCTGCCGTCTCAAGATCCTTGACAACCATGCCTTCAATGTCCCTTAGCCACAGAGGTCACAGAATTAGGACATGCGTGTCTTTGGAGGCTGTTCTCCAACCCGCCTCAGCCTCTGTCCGTCCAAGCACATTATGGCTATTGCTCAGGGTCTAGACATAAAGATCTTGCCCAAAACACACACTTTGTGTGGGTCATTTTTGGCTTCTCTCTTCTCCACAAGCAGGGGGGCTTGGGGCTGTATGAGCGGAAGGAGTGTGACCCCTGCCTTTGCCAGCACGGGGGGGAGGGGGGGGGATGTCTGTTCCTGAGTGGCTCTGGCTTGGGAACTCTTGGTCCAATGGTAAGTGGGATTCTCTGTGTAGTGTCCTACCTCACACTGCAGAGGCCATCCCGTCCCCAAAGCCCAGGCTCAAATGTCTTACACTGCTGTCATCCCTCACACCAGGATGTTTGTTTTTTTGTTTTGTTTTGTTTTGTTTTTTTTAAATGGGTCTTTCTTCTTCACCAGCCCCGTTGCAAAATTCTGGTTACTCTTCACTGTTGCACTCTGGGCTATGGCTGAAGGCAGGAAGGATCTGGAAGGGAGGGCAAGCCAAGAGGAAGAAATGGAGAGAGTAAGAAAGGAGATTTCTTGGTGTTCTTTTCCTTCTCCCGGGGCAGGGCCCTTGATGTTTCTGAGCTCATCTGACCCCTACTGGCCACACTTGGGAAGGACACCCTCCCCCGACACAGTGTGGCCCGCCTTCCAATCCACATTCTTTGACTTTTTCATTTCAGAACCAACTTGAGTTGTTGAAATAGGACTCCTATTGATGTATGTCATGGGCATAGCTACATTCTTTCCTCCGAGTTCAGCCAGTAGGCAGTTCTGCAGGGTTCACCCTATCTGTGGGCAACTCAAAGGCTCAAGACACTCCCCTACTCCTGGGAAGGGCTGGGGGAGCAGCTTGTGGACTGGGCCACCTGAAGAGCTGTGGAGTCTCACTGCTGCTGCAGGCTGAATCGATTATTAGTCACATAGAAGTTCTGATCCTGCTGCTGTGTGAGACTGTATTTGGAGACTCTGTGTGTGTGTGTGTGTGTGTGTGTGAGAGAGAGAGAGGGGGGGGGCACTCATGTATGCCCAGGCTACAGGGAATATATGGATGTCAGAGGCAACTTTGTGGAATTTGGTTTCTTAACCCACCTTTATAGTGTCTTCATTACGATTCTGTTGCTATGACAAAACACTATGACCAAGACAATTTAGAAAGCATTTAATTGCACTTCCAGTTTCTGAGAGTTAGAGTCCAGGATGGAAGAGCAAAGCAGGCACAGCTGAGAGCTCCCATCTTGATCCACAAGCACGATGTGGACAGTGTGCCCCTTCCTATATAAAGACCCTGTGTATCCCAGGATTTGGTATCTACAAGGATCCAGGAGCCTAGCCACAGCGAATACCAGGAAGTGACTACAGAAAGCACAGACCAGACACTGGAGCCGGGGAAACCGGTCCAGCTACTGACTAGAGCAAAGGCTATTCTGAGAACAGGACGTGGTCATATCTGACCACACGGTCTTCCACTGTCCCTAAGAATAGGTATGTCAACATCAGAAAGCTCTGCCCAGAACATGGCCCTCACCTATACTTGTTGACACTCTGTGTTCCACTTCCTTGTCTGTGAAATGAGCAAACATCAGAAGCTTCTCTCTGGGTTGTTGCAGAGTGGCGATCAGCCAACTGGGAGACGGAACCATCTTCTCTAGCTGCAGTAACGGCTCTGTTGCTGTTCATGTGGCAGTTGTATTACCCAGAACTTTCTAGAGTGCCTCTCTGCTCCATGGACAGGTGCCTCAAGTCTAGTGTAACTAAATGCCAGCAAGCAGCATCAGTTGTGCAGAGGGAGAAGGCTGTACCACCTGGGGGTTAAGAAAATTGACTAAGATAGATTTTTCTACATCCTGGGAGAAAAAAAAATTATATACCAAAAAAGCAAAATAGCAATTTTGTTGAAGTCAAAAATTCAGGGTAAGAAAAGGAAAGGGGGAAAAAATCCAGAAATGGCTCTGGAAAAGAGGCAGACACCAAGAACGGTTTTCACAGACCCTGCTTTCCTGGTGTCGTTTTTTTTTCCCTCTCATTTCATACTTTTAACTCCCTGGGAACTGAGAGCAGCGAGCTGTGCCTCAATCACACTGCTGGAATGGCTGGTGACGGGGACAGCCTACGCCAAACCTGTCCTAGATGGTGAAAAGAGAAAGAAACAGGTCTAATATCCATAGAACAGGACCACAAGAGAGAGACGGGATGATGTGGCTGTGTGTCAAAAGAGTGGAAAGGGAATGGGGGCAGGGGTAGTGGGGGGGGGAGAGGAGTGGGGGAGGCGGAATAAACAGGTCATTCTTGAAAATGCTGTCATGGAGCCAACTTTTGCATGCCAATTAAAAATATATGAGTTACAGAGGTGGAGAGATGACGCAGTCAGGAAAGCACGTGCCACAGAAACGTGAAGGCCTGAGTTCCACCCACAATCCATGCCTGCGAGACAAGAGGATCTCAGGTACCTGCTGGCCTCGTTAGAAAATCAGTGAGCTCCAGGTTCAAAATATAAGGCAGGCAGCAGTTCACGAAGACACCTCTGAAGTCCACATGTACACGCACACACACAAATGGAAATTTAAAAATAATTTAAATAATATCAATAAGTAAATAACAGTACTGTTAGAAAGAAAAGGAAGTAGGAACTAGTAGCAAAAGAGGATGCATGCTCTCAGCAGAGATAAGCAGATCTCTGTGGCTTTGAGGCCAACCTGGTCTACAAGAGCTAGGTCCAGGACAGCCAGGAATCCTGTCTTGGGGAAAAAAAAAAAAAGATGAATGACTTGGTGATTGACATAAGCTATTATCTTAGGAGCAAATCATCCTGAAGTAAAATGTACTTTAAACCTGCTGAACACATGAATGCAAACATGTACATACAGGCATCAAACTTTAAGTATAGGAAAAACAACAGCAAGTCTCCTGCGCTTTTCAAAGTGATACAATGTGACACCAAGTATCACATCAGCAATAGTAAGCAGAGGCTTTAGCTCAGGGACAAGGGGGTCTACAGGGACAGGCTCTCCTCTCCTCCCAGGAAAGGCTAGGATACAAGTCCCCTTAATGCACAGGCACACCTCAGGCTGTTACAGGCTCACTCTCATGCCGCAGCCATAAAGCAAATGCTGCATTACTGTGAGCCACACAGAATTTCTGGTCGCCCTAGGTACACCAAAGTTACGCCATACTGTTTTCTATTAAGAGTCTGATAGCGAGGTGTTTTAAAAGACAGTGGCTATCCCTTAATTTAAAATCTTAATTTAAAATATTGCTGACAAACAAACAGTAACAGCCATCTGAGCTGTCGGGGAAACGGTGTCAGTAGATCTCAATGGGTTTGTGTGTTGTGAAATTGCCACAAACCCTGAGTGGGGGTGGGGGGCATAAAGAGAAACCTGCCGCAGTGTTCTTCAGGCAGCAATAATGCAAATAAAACAAGACCTGCTCCTTGTGGTAGTTACTTTTCCGTGGCTGTGAGAAAAACACTCTAACCCCTGGTGTTTTGAATTCTGAAACATTTATCTATATCTCCCTTTTGTTCACATTTCTCCCCTCTACTCCAGATACTTAACATGTTTGGATCCTCACATTTCCACGCCCACGTCCCTCCCACCCTTCTGTGATCTGGTATGGAGACCTGCCACACCAGGGAAGGTTTGACTCTGACCACTCGGTAGCTCCTCCTTGTTGGACCAGGTCACACAGCCCGCCACTGGGGAAGTCGGGGCAGGAAAGCACACTGCTTGCTGATTGGATCTCAGGCTCACATTTGACTTTCTTTCTTTTTTCTTTTTTTATTGATTTTATTGAGCTATACATTTTTCTCTATTCCTCTCCCTTCCTCTCCCCTTCCCATTCAACCCCCTCCCATGGTCCCCATGCTCCCAATTTACTCAGGAGATCTTGTCTTTTTCTATAAAAAAGACAAGATTAGATCCATGTATGTCTCTCTTAGGGTCCTCATTATTGTTTAGGTTCTCTGGGATTGTGATTTGTGGGCTGGTTTTCTTTGCTTTAAGTTTAAAACCACTTATGACACTTGACTTTCTTTTACAGCCCAGGAGCACCTGCCTGGGATGCTACCAGCCACGATGGGCGGGGGACCTCTTTATCAAACAGCAATCAAGACAATCTCCACCCAGACAGGCCCACAGAACAACCCAATAAAGTCAGTTTCTTAGCCAAGACTCCTGGGCCAAGTTGACAGTTAATGCTAAGTGGGGCATTCATCACGGTCTTCAAGAAACGCGCAACAGGCAATAGAAGGCGCTAAACCCCGTAGCCGCCTGTAGAAAAATCTGCAGTTATTTTTCACGGGTTTTAATATCTCTCAGAAGTCACTAAAAACAGAAGGAAAGAAAATCAATAAACACATAAAGACCCGACAGCACTACCAATCAACCTGACCTAATCAATACTTGCGGAGAACCTCACCACACGGCAGTATAATTCATTTCCTTTTCAAGTACAACTTGGCCTATTTGCCAAAATGACCACATCCTAGGCTACAAAGCAAATTGTAATAAATGCAAAAGCATTTGAATTGTGGGATAATCTACATTTCCTGTCCACAAAAGAATTAGATTAGAAAAGATGACAGAAAACTTAAAAGAAAATCCACACATTTGTAAACTAATAACATACCTCTAACTAATTCCTGGGTCAGAGGGGCACATGAGGTGGGTGAAATGGATCAGCCATCAGAGGTGTTTGCCAACAGGCCTAATAACATGTGTTTGATCCTCAGGACCCACCTGGTGGAAGTGGAGAACCAACTTCCACAAGCTGTCCTATGGCCTCTGCAGGCATGCCATGGTGTGAACACACACATTTGCACTGTCCTGTGACCTCTGCAGGCATGCCATGGTGTGAACACACACATTTGCACTGTCCTGTGGCCTCTGCAGGCATGCCATGGTATGAACACATACATTTTCACTCACTCACTCTAAATAAACCTTTTTTATTTTTATTTTTATTTTTAATAAAAAATAATTTAATAAAATAGATTTAAATGTTTAATCTGGGGACATTTCGAACGGATCAAGAATAGGAATACAACCTATCAGAATCTGTGGGA